TGCCCTTCTTCTTTACCAAGCATGATGTCCTTCTCTAGGGACAAGGCTCTCCTAAAAACATGTCCAAAGTATGTGAGAAGGAATCTCGAATCATTGCTTCTAGAGTACTCGGGCTGTACTTCTTCGAAGGCAGATTTGTTTTCCTTTTGGCAGTCCATGCATGGTACTTTCAATATTCTTTGCTAGCACCATAATTCTTCTTTTGTCTTCCTTATTCAATATTTAACGTTCACATGCATATGAAGTGATTAAAATTACCATAGTTTGGAGCAGGCACACCTTGATCATAAAAGTAACCAACCTGCTTCAACACTGCCCGTTTATTAAGACCTAAATAAGACCTAAGGTCTTGTGCAGCAGATTTACCCAATGCAATGAGTTGTTTGATCTTAGTTGCTACTTCCATGAGCATTGATTGTGGATCCAAGCCAGACAAAAATCCTCAACAACTTCAAGCTTTTCTCCCTTTGGCATGTTGTTACCTATTGGTACAGTTGTGAGGATTTGGGTTTTCTCTACATTGAGTTGTAATCCATACTGAACACTGTAATCCTTGATCTTTATCTGCAAGTACTTCAAATTCTTCTCACTTTTAGCAAGCAATGCTGTATTATTTACATAGCTAAGGATGTTAATAAGCATTCCTCCAATCCTGATGTCACATTCTTCTTCATATAATTCAGCTTCTCTGATTACTTGCTCAAAATACAGATTGAATAAGTATGGTGAGATGATATAAATCTGCTGTACACCTTTCTTGATTTTAAACCATACAGTATTCCCTTGTTCTATCTGATCCAGGCATAAGTTGCTCATGAGCATAATGAAATGTTCTGGGATTCTCATTATTCTCCAGTCTAAATATAATTTGTTATGATCCAAACAATCCAAAACCTTGGTTTAGTCAATAAAACACAAGTAAACATCTCTCTCGAATTCTCTGATTTCAGCCAAGATTCATCTGGCATCAGCAATGATATTCCCTGTTCCACGTCCTCTTCTGAATCTGGCCTGAACCTCTGGCATTCCCTGTCAATGTACTGGCAACCATTATTAGATGATCTTCAGCAAACAATTTACTTACATGATATCAATAATATTGTTCTATAATTTGAGTATTCTGTTGGGTCACCTTTCTTTGGAATGGATATAAATACGGTTCTCTTCCAATCAGTTGACCCAGTAGCTGTCTTTCAAATTTCTTGGTACAGAAGAGTAAGTGCTTCTAGTGCTTCATCCGCTGGTTTCAATTAGCATTCCATCAATTCCTGGAGCCTTGTTTTTGACTACTGCTTTCAGTGCAGCATGAGCTTCCTTTAGAACCACTGGTTCTTGCTCCTATGCTACTTCTGGAAATGGTGGAATGTTGACTAATTCTTTTTGGTACAGTGACTCCGTGTATTCTTTCCATCTTCTTTTGATACTTCCTGCATCATTCAATATTTTGCCTGTAGGCTCTTTCAATAATAATTTTAAAAAGAATCTTTCAATATTGCAACTTGAGGCTTGAATTTTTTGGAGTTCTTTCAGTTTAAGATATACTAAGCTTGTTCTTCCTTTGTCATTTTCTAACTAGGTCATTGGAGATTTTATTATAATAGTATACATTGTCTTCTCAAGCTACCCTTTGAAATTTTCTGTTGGGCTCTTTGACTTCATCACTTCTTCCATTTGCTTTACGTACTCCATGATTAAAAGAGTCTCTTCTGCCATCCACTTTGATCTCTTCTTTCTTCCCTTTTTAATGACCTATTGCTTCCTTCATAGAGGATGTTCTTAATATCCTCCCACAGCTCATCACGTCTTCTGTAATCAGTACTAAATGCAGCAACTTTCTTCTTAAAGTGTTCCTGAAATTGTGGTGGTTGTATTTTGGCTCTCATGGACTTGTTTTAATTTTCTTTAGCTTCTACTTGCATTGCATTTACATATGAGCAATTGATGGTCTGTTCCCTAGTCAGCTGCTAGTCTTGTTTTAGCTAGCTGCTGATATTGAGCTTTTCCCTAGTCTCTTCCCACAGAAGTGGTCAATTTTATTTCTGCATATTCCAAGTGAAGAAGTCTATGTGTACAGTTACCATTTGTGTTGCTGAAAAAGATATTTGCTATGAATAAATCGGTCTTGCAGAATTCTGTCATGTGTTGTCTGGCTTCATTTCTATCGCCAACATCATGTTTTCCAGCTACTGTTCATTCCTCGGTGGCACAGGGGTCCTCAGCTTGGCTGCTAAGCACAGTCAGCGTTTCAAAACCCCCAGCTGCTCCTCAGGAGTAAGATGAGGCTTTCCATTCCTGTAAAGAGTTATGGTCTCAGAAACCTACATGGGCAGTTCTACCCTCTTCTATAGGGTCACTATGATAAGAATCAAACTTGTTGGCATGAGTTTGGTATAGTTTGGGGGGGGGTGTTCTTCTTCTTTGTTTCCAACTTTTACATTCCAAACAACAATAATTATGAATATATCTTGATTGCATGCTTAATCAATTTCAGACTGAAAATGTCTATACAATTCTTCAATTTCCTTATCACTAGCTTTGGTAGTTGGTGCATAAATTTGAATATTTGTACTGATTGAATTTCCTTGAAGACAGATAGATAATAATCTTATCACAAACAGGCTTGTAAATCCTGAAAGGAAGGTAAATCTTGAAAAGTGGCCTTCTTATAAGATTGGATGGGTGGCGGGGGGGGGGGGGGGGGGGGGGGGGGGGGGGCCACTGGGAACCTTCCTCTTTCTCTATCCATTTGCCTTTCTACCCAGTGGGACTCTGCTGCTGAGAACTGCGGTGCCTGCCATGTTTCCACTGACTTTGGAGCCAAGCAACTCTGCACCTACCCAACTGTGATTTTTCTGCTTTCCAGTTCCTGATTTTGTCTCACCAGCATGTAGTTATTTGAGTCTTCTCGACTAGCCATAGGCTCATGGACTTGAGTTGGACTGGACTGGGATGACTTTTTGATACATAATTATTGCTTGATATAAAGCTTTTTCTTATACATAGATGAGTGTCACTGCATTTGTTTCTCTAAACAACGTGACCTAACACACACAGCATAGTAAACCATATAACTGTCTGATTCAAAATAGTCAAGCTTACTAATACTGAGGATATTGGTCTTTATGCATTCCATTTCATTTTTCATGATTTCCAATTTTCCTAGATTCATACTTCATACATTCCAAGTTCCAATTATTAGTATGTTTCTTATTACATTGAGTTATGCCCCAGCAGCAAATAAAGATGTCAAAGGCTTTACTCCCACAGGCTTTATTCCAGTCATGTCACCATGGTTGACTACTTTGAGAAGGCAGCCCTTCTTCAATCGTACCTTGAGTGCCTTCCGACTGAGGGGCTCATCCTCCAGCACGATCTCTGGCAATGTTCTGCTCCTATTCCTTACGCCTTCAGGATCTAACAAGATTTCCACACTATGCATAAGGTTTCCACTTACGTGGACAGCCAATTCCTTATTTGTAGTCTGTTCTTAGTCTGGAAACTTGGAGGACATCTGTTCACTTTGGGTTGTCTTGCTGACATTTGAAAGACCAGTGGCATAGCCCCCAGCAACACACCAACACACAGGCCAACACAGTACGACAAATTGACAGACAAGTGGTGAAGAAATAACATATGATCCAGTAATTCTATACCTAAGTATATATCCAAAGGAACTGAAAGCAGGAACTCAGAGATTTGCACCCAATATTCACTGTAGTGTTCAGAATAGCCACACAAAAAAAGGGAAACAACCCAAGCATTCATTGAAGGATGAACAGATGAACCAAATATGTTATATGTATAAAAAGGAATATTAATGAACCCTAGTAGCACTTTAGGGCATAGGGTAAGCTATAGACCGTTAACCACAAGGTACATGGTTCAAACTCACTAGCTCATCTGGGGGTGGGGGGTGAGCAACAGAAATGTGGGTGAAGGAAAACAGAAGACAATGTAAGATATGAAAATACTAGTGATTTATAATTTATCAAGGGGTCATGAGGGTGAGAGTGGGGAAAGGGAGGGAATAAAGAAGAGCTGATACCAAGGGCTCAAGTAGAAAGAAAATATTTAGAAAATGATGATGGCAACATATGTACAAATGTGCTTGATACAACTGATGCATGCTTATAAGAGCCCCCAATAAAATGATTTATTTAAAAAGAGAGAGAGAGAGAGAGAGAGAAGAGCTAGTCAGGGTGTAGTGTAGCAACGATGAAACATACAACTTTCCTCTAGTTCCTAAATGCTTCCTCCCACCTCCACTATCATAATCCCAATTCTACGTTACAAATCTGGCTAGCCCAGAGGATGGACACTGGTACAGATAGGAACAGGAAACACAGGGAATCCAGGACAGATGATCTCTTCAGGACCAGTGGTGAAAGTGGTGATACCGGAAAGGAAGGTGGGGTGGAAAGGGGGAACTGATTACAAGGATCTACATATAACCTCCTCCCCTGGGGACAGATAGCAGAAGAGTGGGTGAGGGGAGACGTCAGACAGTGTAAGATATGACAAAATAATAATAATTTATAAATTATCAAGGGTTCATGAGGTGGGGAGGGGAGGGAAGGGAAAAATGAAGAGCTGATACTAAGGGCTCAAGTAGAAAGCAAATGTTTTGAGAATGATGATGGCAACAAATTTTAAAATGTGCTTGACACAATGGATGTATGTATGGATTGTGATAAGAGTTGTAAAATGATTTTTTTAAATAAATAAATAAAATTAAAAAAAAATTTTTTTAAAGAATTCCTGCTTACATGTTAATAGATTCAGATGAGAAAAAGAGCCCTTAATTAGGCAATAGTTGGGTAATTGGGTAAGAGAGGGACAATCTGTTTTGCTTTAAAGAAAATTTATCATTCCCTTTTGGAGGCCCATAAAATAACTTTGGATGAGTATATATAATATATATATTCATTTTAAAAGACTTTTTTTATAGATTATTTATCTAGTAAAAAAGTAAGTTAGATTATGAGTCCAGTTGAACTAACCTTTAAAGCCAATTGATATGTAGCTGAACTCCAGATATCCCTCTCTGATATTAAGTGGTTAATATCACTCTCCATTCTTCCTCTTTGTAATGTATATAAATCATGGTATTCTTCTACAATTCTAAAAGAAAATTAAGAAACAGCTATATAGAGATTTAAAAAAAAATAATTTTAAATTTTCAAATAAAAATGTTCTAAAACACTAAATTTGCTCCCTTAAAAATTGCCGTAAGATAATCTCTTAACATGTGATTTCATAAAATTTTCTTATGCTATGATAATACCATAAGAAATATTATATTATTTCTGGATATACTAGTAAAATTGTATGGACAATGAAATTAGGGGGAAAGTTTTTCATTTAAAAATTTTACAAAACTCTTAGGAAAAGTAAAAAGTTTAATATATTTTCCCTGCTCTAAACACATTTTATCTTATGTTTTCTTTTTCAGTTCACTAGAATTTTAATATAGTATCCCCAAAATATAATACTATATTAAATGAAAAATTGTAAGTAAGAATGGCAGTAGTAGAATTATATTATTATGGCTAAGCTTCTTCCTCATATATTAGTTATTGAGTGAAAGAACAATGCATAATTGTGAATATGATATTTGAAAATTACATATCATTACAATAAGATGTTTAAAATCCTCTTCCAAACACCCAAAACTGAGGTATAATTATAATTTTCTTATCTACCAGAATATGCCTAATCCTCGAACTTACCCTGATGCTTTACTGAGAATCAAGAGCTCATGTGAGATCAAATAAAATTACATAAGTTATAAGCTTTCACAATCTTTTGAAGTACTCCCTCACATGAGATGTATGATACCTTTAAGAATTAAAGGACAGCAATGTAGAAATTTTCTAACAAAGTTAGTAACCATGATACACAAGGCCCAAAGTCTCATTCTATTTAGAGGTTTCTACTTATACAAAATTAAAAAACTCATACAAAATAAAACTCAAAATGAGAAGGAAGAGCTGTAAACATCTACTAAGAATCAGAATGTGGAATGCACAATGAGTCTAGGAAAATTGTAAGTCATCAAAAACTGCAATGAAGCATAAAGATCCATATCCCAGCATCAGCGAGCGGACATGGACTAGTACTGCCCATTATAAATCAGAGAGGCATATGGTTTACTATGCCAAGAATGCCAAATTCAAGAGGAATGGCATGACATTGTCAAACATATATATTTCAAGATCTATCTTGAAGTAAAATGCTGTTGGTGATAGAAGAATGTTCAGTGGTGGGATTCAGGCGGTTAGAATGGTTCAGCAGAACTGATACCTACTATTTTGTTGAGTTCAGCCAACCAGTTGTTAAAATGGTAATTGTAAGCAGGGTTCTCTCTAAAGTTGGCGGCTGAGCAGCTATTCAATGTGGAAATCACAAATTTACATTCTTTATTCTTTTTTAACATTCATCTGTGCAATAGCAATTTCTAATCACTCACAATAATGTTCATTCTGTCCATAGGTATTAAAAATTAGAACTATGCTTGTAATATTTAGTTATTCATTTCATAAAACTTGTTATACTTTTGATGAAATACATTTTTATTCCCTGTGTATATTACTTCAATAAACAAATAATGTAAAAACAAAAAGTGCCAAACGTCCAGAGGGTAACACGATGTCATTCATTTCAGCTTAGTGTTATACCCCAAATTCTCACGAGGTGTAATGAGTGGGTTATATAATTTCTGAAAGCATTCAAAATGCTAAAAATATTGTCAGAACAATTGCTGTAAGTGCAACAGAAGTGGACAGAGGCTTTTCAAAGATGAACAGAATATGCTCAGAGAAGAGAAATGGCCTAACTGTTCCTAATATATCAAACACAATGACTATTGTCTAATTGGCCTACCTCTAAAAGTGACAGGCTGGGTAAAGGTATATCACACAGCCAATGACATTCAGATAAAAGCGAAGAACATTGCAAGTGAGGATACTAATCAAGAAGTAATGTGGAAATATCTTTAAAAATGGGTTTATTACAGGGAATCCAGGACAGGTGATCCCTTCAGGACCAGTGCTCAGAGTGGCGATACCGGGAGGGTGAAGGGAAGGTTGGGTAGAGAGGGAGAACCAATTACAAGGATCTACATATAACCCACTCCCTGGGGCATGGACAACAGAAAAGTGGGTGAAGGGAGACGCCAGACAGTAAGATATGACAAAATAATAAT